TGAGTTCCTTGGAGATCTTAGATGTATTTTTTCCCAGTCTCTGGGCTATCTCCCCACTCTCTTGATGGTTTCTTTGACTTTGCAGAAGCTTGCCAGTTTGATGAGGTCCCATTTGTCGATATTATCTCTTATGGCATGGGCACTTGGGGTTTTGATCAGGAATTGGTTTCTAGTTCTAATTTCCATTAGGGTGCCTCCTGCATTTTCTAGTGTTCTTACAGTTTTAAGTTTTACGTTTAGGTCTTTGATCCATTTAGAGTTGATTTTTGTGTATGGTTTTAGATAGGGATCTTGTTTTAGTCTTCTGCATGTGGTCAGCCAGTTTTCCCAGCACCATTTACTGAATGGGTTCTCCTCTCCCCAGTGGTTGATGGTGGAGGCTTTGTCAAAGATGAATTGGCTGCGAAATTGAGGTTTTGCTTCTGAATTCTCTATCCTGTTCCATTGGTCTATATGCCTGTTCTTGTACCAACACCAGACTGTTTTGATTATTGTAGCCTTATAATAAATATTAAAGTCTGGGAGTGTGATAACTCCCATTTTGTTTTTTGTTTGTTTGTTTTTTGCTGAGGATTGTTTTGGATATTCATGATTGTTTATTTTTTCATATGAATTCCTGTATTGTCCTTTCCAGGTCTGAGAAGAATGATGCTGGTAATTTAATGGGTATTGTGTCAAATTTATAGATTGCCTTGGGTGATGTATTGCTTTTGAATTAGAAAAAGATTTAAGAAAAACTGATGAGAGAGTTAATGTCATTCATAAATATTCTAGCTATTCGTTCTTTCTATGAACAAGGCACTATACTCAACCCTTTAGACTGTCAGATATTTATAAGATAGTGGTATAATTTCTCAAGAAGGTCAAGCCCTAGTGTGGAAGATAAAAACAAACGTACACATGCCATGTATGAAATCCACAGTTAGTATGAAGTAGAATGTTAGAAGCTTAAGACAGTCAGAGTTCTTTAGTAAGAAAGGTCACTCTTAGGTAGAACGGTGTTAAGGAAACTGAAGTGGAAGGATGCAGAAGATTTCAAAGCTGGAAATTCTGCAAAGCCATTCTAAAAAAAACAAGACAACAACATTCAGAAGTGAAAGTGCAAGGTAATCCTGGCTGGAGTCTGGGGTAGAGTATAGAATAGTAGCATTGAGGCCAGATTATATGAAGTGCTGAGAGCCAGGTAAGAGAATTTGAATAGTCATTGAAGATTATTGAAGAAGGGTGTAAAATAATTATACATAGAAAGAAAAAACCTATTTGAAATCTGTTACGCTAGTCCAGATTAGCAATAATAAAGGCTTAGATACTGGTTGTGGAAATGCAAAGGAGGGATAAACTTGGGAAACATTTTAGGAGTCTAGTTATAGAATTTAACAGTTGTTTGGAAGCAATTGTATAGAATTTAAAAATTGTTTGGAAGCAGAAAAAGAGGTAGGAGGTAACAAAAGTGGCCACATTGTTCTGCATCAGTTTATCAGAACAGTGGTATTACTAGTACAAAAGGACAGTCAGAACAAGGAAAATTTTGTGGAGCAAGACAGTTGTGGGTATTTTGAATGTTAGATTTGGTTTCAGGGAAACATCCACGAGGCAGGACTCAAGGCAGTTGAAAGTATGGATTAGAAGTGCAGTCATTCAGCAAATACATATCGCCTCCTATGTTTAATAACTCCATAAGTATTATCAATTTAAAACGGAATCAAACATGATCTCTGTGGAGGGCACTGTGTGAACCAGGGAAATAAATAGATATCATGTGGATAATCACAGTACAGTTATCTTAAGTACTGCATCAACAGAGTATGAATAGAGTGCTATGTGAGCACAGAGGGGAAATCTCTGCTCTTTGTTTTGGTGATGTGGAAAGAATTCACAAGATTGTTGAAAGACATTTTGTGACCAGTAGGGGCATGCAAACATGGGAAATTATTCTTGACCTGATATGGAGAGAACTTAATCTGTAGAGCAAAGAGGGAGAACACTGGATTACTGTATTGAGAACAATATTTAGAGGAATGTATGTATTTGCAATTTAGGAAAAGGTTGAACCAGTGAGGGGAAATATGGAACCTGATCTCAGAAGCCAAAACGGGAGATTCAAGACACAAGGAAGTTTGACAATGATCAAAAGACTGGGGAGAGATTAGGAAACACGGTTCCTTTTCTATGAATATATCTGCTTTATATCACATGAATATATGTTAACTCAATATGTATTTACTTATAAGTAAAACTCATTATGTACGGATAAAATCATGTATAGGGAATAAACATCAATAATATTTTATGAACTTGATGTTTAAGAAATAATATCAAGGCACTGATAGAGAATAGTCTTGTGGGGATGGTGTAGCCATTGGATTTGGCAGGGATTGTTCGTGATATCTGAAAACAATTTTCAAAAGTGTAATAGGGCAGAATGTAGACTTTGAAGGAGCTGAGTATAGGAGAGATCATAGATGACAGCAGTTCTCAGAAACCCTCCAATCCTGCCTCTCCTCCACCCCCACTCTCCAATTACCTGTTACACTTTTTCTTTAATTACCATCCTAAATGCTTCTACCTCAGAAGAACTTCATGTTCAACTTTCTCTAACTAGTTTCCTCACATTATACTAGCACATCATTCTTTTGCTCCATATGCCTACCACAATTTGTAATAAACTGCTTGTATATTTAGTAAATGTCTGTCTTTGTCAGCAGGACTGATGGTTGCATGAGGGTAGGCACCATGATCTTTTGTGTTCCACCTTATATTTTAGCCTTGTGTGGTGTTGGTGCATAGCAGTCTTTTAATATTTGTTGATAAATGAGAGATCAGAGGGTAAGGTAGAATGTTCCCAGAGCAAATATCTTGAAGATAGAATAGTTTATAAGAGATGCCAAAAATCCAACAGGTCCCCAGTGTGTGGGTTGCCAGAACAGGAGGAGATGAAGAGTTGGGGAAAATTGAGGTTATACTTTGAAAACCATTGCTTAAATCCCTCTTGGACTCATTGAGAACAAGGATGGGATGAAGAGGAAGGAATGTTTTAAAATAAACAGATGGCAAAATTGGAGAAACTGAAGTAAAGCAGATGAGATAGACTTCAAAAATGTGAGTAGTTAAAAAAAAGTGTGGAAAGCAGTACAGAGTATACTGTCTTTTCCTCCTTATTAGATGAGTTGAGACTTCATATAAGGTTATGAACCAAAAGTAGCAGAATGAAAATTGAGAATGTATAAACATCGCTTATAGAAATAAGGGAAGAAAGTATAGGAGAATGTGATCATGGTAAAACAGAGGCATCATAAGACACAGTGTGAAGGACTAATGAACTGCATATACCTGAAGTGACTGAACTGCCTTCCTGTGGGCTATTAACTATAGTGTAAGTGTTTAATAAGTACCGATTGGTTATTAAACCTGTTCAATGTAAATTAATCACTATTTCTAGAGGAATAATACCACAAAAATTGAGTAATGCTAATAGTAAAGAAGAGCTTTTGTTATATAGCCCCATGTATTAGAATACAGTTATGTGTAAATATATTTGTATTATTTACACTAAATGTTTTGGTAAAAAAAAAAAATTCTTGTATTGTTAATGCTCTAACATAATATAAATTTTACACAGCACTCATAGCTATTTCTCAGAAATCCTTGACTCTGAAGAATAGAAAGTACTTTGCCTAGTAATTTTTAAAATGACTAATCATACCTTAAATAGATTTTAAGATAGTTTATAATTGTCATTTTGAAATAATTGATTTTAATTTATGTGTACCTCAAATACAATCGAAAGGTTTGGTTTAATTATTTTTAATCAGTGCAGTGAAACTTCTTGGCAGCCATGAATACCTTGCCTTGTTATAGTATATCAGTTCCTCCTGTGACTGGTGTCATAGCACAGGTTTGTAAGGTGACTGCCGTTAGGGATGCTATCTTTGGTCATGAAAAAGAGTTGTCTGTCTGTTCTCTGAACAAAACTAAATGATTCCTATGGGAGTAAATGAGATACACTGGCCTGAATCATGCTGAACTTCACTACCAAGGGCTTTGGCACAGACTGCCTGGTGTTTTATGTTGTTCTGTATCCATTCAAAATCAAGAATCAGAGTTCTCTGTGATATCCTTATGAATAGTCATACATTAAAACATGCCTCTTTCCATGGAGGTTGCTTTTTTTTTTTTAATCAATTTTTTTAACGTTTCATGAACATACAGTATTTTAGAAGACGTACTAAGATAGTGACTCCCTGACTATTAGGGAATCATGCATCTCCTGAATGTGAGATGTTTTGGAAAATATTACTATCATTGTGTAAATATTTGTGTAATAATGCTAACTTAAAGCACCTAGTAGGTTAATTCTTAGTATTATAAAAGCAGTACTGATGAGGGAGAATATACTTATCTGCCACAAAGTTTTGCATGTGTGAATAGTTATTACTAAGGTGGAAAGAAAAGAGAAACTCTCTACTTTTATCTGTACTTTTTCTCACCAGTTGAATTCTTTTTAATCTTCTTCATACCCATGAATAATCTTTTTATTAAACCATGACATTTCGAGTTGTTGCATTTTTGTTTTCTTCAGTAAAATTCTCTGCCCTTAGCCAAAAAAAAAAAAGGAAAAACTTATGTATCTAGGATACTCCTGATTTGTCTTTTGAATAAGTCAAAGCTGAGATAATTGTATGAGAGATAATTGTATTGAGAGTCAGATAACTTGAAGATAGATAATCAGCCCCTCATGGTCTGGAATATAGTCAGAGCACGAGTTTGATTTGGTATTTCCCCTGATGCCAGAAGTATGATGTGCCTGTCTTGCTGTTTTTTTAGTCTCAGTAGAAATGTATTATCTTGTCTTACCTAAATTGGAATATGGAAGAGGAAGAGATGTTAAGTTTGACAATCATGTAAATGCTTTCTCCAGACTAGCAAAAGTTAGCCATTGATTTTGCTTTGGGTGTAGATGAGGCTGTGGTGAGCATGCTAATGTCGCGTTCTCTTCGCAGTGGGGAAACCTCACAAGTGCAACTACTGTGGACGAAGCTACAAGCAGCGCAGTTCGCTGGAGGAGCACAAGGAACGCTGCCACAACTATCTCCAGAATGTCAGCATGGAGGCTGCTGGGCAGGTCATGAGTCACCATGGTGGGTAGAAAACGGCATCTGTGATTTTAATTCCCTCCATACCATTTTCATCGTTTTTTTTAATGGGTTAAATGTTTCCCTCTACCCTTCCTCGTCAAGATAAAAATCTTCCTCTGTTTAAGGCAGTTTAGATCACACTGACTTACATGAGCTTTGGGATACACTGCAAACAATCGCTATTGAAGTTTTGTGATAGTCCCAAATTATTTCTGATAATGTGTGTGGATTAACATAATGGCAGCCAATCTTTAATATACCAAAGGAAGATACTATTAACTCTTCTCTTTCATTTCTCTAACCAAAAAGTTAGAGATGCTGCCACATAAGTGTAAAGATCCTGAAAAATAAATTGTTTATTTGCACATTTTCATCTCTGTTAGGTAAGCGATCCGTGATACAATTTGAAATTTCTCCAGTCTGTCTTGTCATTTATCGGGGAAATTACTGATTTTGTTGTTTACAAGTTTGAGTAACAATCTAGACCAAAATTAGACACCATCTCTCTCCACAAAAAACATCCTTCAAGCAAAACATCTGATCTCTGCAATATACTATGGCAGGTAGAAAGACACTTCCTAAGGTTTGTTAATTAATAATTATCTATTCCTGAAAAGTTAATTTTAGTAATCAGTCTTACAAAGGAAAGTAATGAATTTTACTTTTTTTAGATTTGTAGCATCTTTGTTTTACGAATTATATTTTTATACTGGTTAGTCTTATTTACACAAATACACACAAAAATCTTAACTCATTCGTGCATTTATATCTTTTACTTCAAAAAGATTTGGTTAGTATGAAATGATAGTTGAGGTTTGCTGTAGTAACTTTTAAAATATAAATATTTATGTATTGACTTAGATAAAGCCATGTCAGGGATTATTACAGGGCTTTGGTTTATTTTATATAGTACATACTGTGGAACTGTGTCTGTTAGACTGCTAATGATTATTTGTTGTTGAGTTGGAAGATTTTAAAACTTAAAATATTGATTGTTATCCTGAATAACTAAAGCTTTGCTTCTATTGATGATAGTTTCTGTAATCTAAAGAATCTGGTTTAAATCTGTTGTTGTGATTGAATCCATTTATTTTTATGTTGTTGTCATCATTAACTAACATTTGTACAAACCTGTCTGTGTTTCAAGTCTTAGTAAATTTGATATTGTAAGCTTGCATCACCTGGACTTATGAGTGTAGCATAGGATCCAAAGCAAAGAGGTTATAAAACGATGGGCTACTAAGTCTTGCAAACCTGCTCTAGCTGTGTGGTATCTGAATGTGTCACTTATAGGCTTTTTGTGAGAATTAAATATGATTGGGTGTGTAACAAATACCCAATAAACGGTCCTTTTTACTGTTACATTTCAGGGTACTAACTAAATAAATAAGAGGAAATGTGCCATCCCCTATAAATGTGTTGCTTTACCACTTTCACTTAAGCATTAGAAGCTTCACTTGCTTACCAAGTACACTGTTACTAGTTATTTTATTTTATTTTTTTAAAGTTGTGGGGTACAATTTGGGATTGGGTACATAAGTGGTCATCATACAGGTAAAGTTTGGACCTCCCTTTGGTCCGCACTTCGCCTGGTGTGGGATCAGGTACCCTTATTGATGTTATGTACCCTCCCTCCATCCTCCCTCCCCTGGCAGTGTCCCGCTACTGCCAGCCTCGTTCTTATAGTATTATGGTAAATGTTCAGGGTTCACTTATGAGTGAGAACATGTGGTACTCAGTTCTTTGTTTCTGTGATAGGTCACTGAGTATGATGGACTCTAAATCCATCCAAGTTGCTACAGAGTTCATAATTTTGTCCTTCTTTGTGGCTATATATATTCCATCATGTATATGTACCACATTTTTTTGTCGGATCCACTTTCAATGGGCAGCATAGTTGGTTCCAGGGTTTTGCTATTGTGAATAGTGCTGCAATAAATATGCACACGCAGGTATCTTTTTTGTAGAATAATTTGAGTTCCTCCAGATATATTCCCAGAAGGAGGATTACTGGGTCATATGGAAAACTGATTATTACATCTTTTAGAAGTGGCTATTCATGTCTTTTGCTCACTTTTTAATAGGGCTGGTTTTTTTTTTTCCTTTCATCACGTTTAAATTCTGTGTAGATCCTAGATGTTAGATCTTTGTCAGATATATAGTTGGCAAATATTTTTCCCATTCTATGAGCTATCTCCCCATTCTCTTCATGGTTTCTTTTGCTTTGCATAAGCTTTTCAATTTGATGAGGTCCCACTTGTCTATCTTATCTCTTGTAGTATGGTCTTTTGGAGTTTTGATCAGAAATTGATTGTCTATTCCAATTTCTGTAATGTTGTGTTTCCTAAGATTCTTATAAGTTTAAGGTTTTATGTTTAGGTCTTTGATCCATTTAGAGTTGATTTTTGCACATGGTGATAGCTAGGAGTACTGTTTCAATCTTTTGCATGTGGTCAGTATCATTTACTGAATAGGTTCCCCTTTCCCCAGTTGGTGGAGGCTTTGTCTAAGATGAGTTGGTTGAGAAATTGAGGTTTTGTTTCCAGAATCTCTATCCTGTTCCATTGGTCTACATTCCTGTTCTTGAACCTATACCAGATTGTTTTGATTATTGTAGCCTTATAATAAAGTTTAAAGTCTAGAAGTATGATATCTCCTGCTTTGTTTCTTTTGCTGAGAATTGTTTTGGCTGTTTGTGGTCATTTATGTTTCTATATGAATTTCTGTATTGTCATATCTAGGTCTGAGAAGAATGATGTTGCTAATTTAATGGGTATTGTGTTAAATCTGTAGATTGCTTTGGGTAGGGTGGATATCTTAACAATGTTGATTTTTCCAATCCATGAACATGGAATATTTTTCCATTTGTGTCATCTTTGATTTCTTTGAGCAGTGTTTTGTAGTTTTCATTGTAAAGATCTTTTACTTCTCAGATTAGGAAGATGCCAAGGTATTTCATCTTTTTTGTTGCTGTTGTTTATGGGATTGTTCATTTTATTTGTTCTCTGCCTGTTTGTTGTTGGCGTATAAGGTTGTGACTATATTTTGCATGTTGATTTTGTACCCTGAGATTTTGCCAGAGTTCTTTATCAGTGCAAGAAGGTTTTTGACCGATTCTCTTGGATTTTCAAGGTATAGAACAGGGGTCCTCAAACTTTTAAAACAGGGGGCCAGTTCACTGTCCCTCAGACCGTTGGAGGGGTGGACTATAGTTAAAAAAAAAAAGGAATTTGTTCATAGTTTTTTTTTTTTCTATACTATAGAATCATATTGTCAGCAAAGAAGGATAACTTGACTTCCTCTTTTCCTATTAGATACCCCTAATTTCCTTCTCTTGTCTGATTGCTCTAGGTAGGACTTCCAGCACTATGTTGAACAGGACACTGCTACTATTTAAGTTGGTGGTTTTTAGGGGAAATTGAGACAAGAAACTAATAGAAGATTGGGGCAATGCCAAAACTTCCCTAAAATGCCTTACAGTATTGCTACTAGTTTTTCCTTATAATGTTCTCCCATTGAAGTTCTGACATTTGAATGGATTATACATGTGCAAATTCTGTTGATTGATTGATTTTCCCATTCATAGTTATTTATGGAACTCTATGATGCCTTTATACCTGAATAAGAAATAAAGTCTCTCGTAAAAAACTATATGGTAATAGAGAGGTAAGGTGTAAATCAGTAATTATAATCAATATTTAATTATCTGTTAGCAGAGTGACCTTTCATAGCATAAAATGCTAACAAAAACTTAAAACAAGTATATTTGGGGGCAGATGAAAACATGTTGTATAAATACCTAGGACCTCAGCATTATCCCGTATTTCCCAGATTGCTTAACCCTCAACAGGCATAGGCCCTTTACAGGTAGTGCTGAAGCTGGAATAAGAGTGGAAAAGTTGGAAAAAGATAGGGACCTAGGTAGAGTAGAGCAAGGGACAAAGCCAAAGAGGAATAGGGGCTGAGGGTAGGTTTCAGTGTCATTTAGTGACCCAAATATTTGTTCGTAATTGTGGGATATCATTTTAATCACAAAGCTTTATATTAATGCCATTTTTACTGTGCTTTTTCAGTTTGTTTTAATAATAATTTGAGATCACCCTTAATCTCTTTTTCCTCTTGCTAACATGCCTAATGGGGAATTGGCTGTATGAGTTGGGAGTTGATAAATGTCATAAGAGAAAACACGGGTAAAATGTTCCTAGAGTTCATCATTAACATATATTACATGTAAATAGCTTATCCTGCATCTCCTTTTAAACAGCCACAATGAAAGTCCTATTTGCCCCCTTCTCTCTCATCCTCTGCTACCATCAATAAAATCCTGTTTATTGATTTTTTTTTTTTTTTGAGTTGCCATTATTCGGATGGACATTACCTCCATGAAATGAATTACTTTTTGTTTTTAAAATCTGACATAATTATATTTTCTGGCCTCTCTTTTTCCAAAATATGTTATTCCTCATGTTGTCTCTTCTAGCGTGAAAGTTTTTGGAGAAAAAGAGACATTTTCATTTCATCAAAAAACATTTACCAAGGGCTTGCTCTGTGCCAAGGTCTATGGGACATTCTGGGGAAATAAAAATAAATGAACACAATTTTTAATACATTATTATAGTCAGGAAGGAAACACATACATAAAAAATGAAGCAAAAACTCTAATAATGACATGTATACAATTCTCCAGGAGCTTAGATATAGAACTAACCTAACTCTGTCTGGAAAAGTCAAGGAAAGCTTCTTACATGCAGCATTGTTTGATCCGAATATGAGAGGTGGGTAAAAATTGCACAAATCCAGCAGGACACAGAGAATGTATGTTCTAAGCAGAGAGGAGACTTGAGGAATAAGAGATTCCTTGATGGTTGAGTGTAACTGGAGTCAAAGGAGTGGGAGGAAATGAGTCTGAAATAGTAGTTTGTGATGCAAAGGCAAAGTTGTTTATGCTAATACAGTGTTTGAATCACATAGCGCAACTGATGGGGAGCCACAGGGGTAATCAAATTTGTATCTTCTAAATAAAAATGTCATCAATGTAGAATATAAGATAGATGCTTGCCTGGAGGGGCTGCGGTGAGAAGAGAGGGGAAGTGAGAATGCCAAGAAAAAAGTGAAAGGAATTGGCAGGACCAAAGAACAAGATGAAATATGGAAGACAGAGTTAGGAGTTAGAATAAAAAGTTTTTAGCAGTGTTGGTTGAGTTTGAGGAAAAGGGAGGAATTTCATGACTTATGGTTTTGGAAATAAAGATAGCAATAATTAGACTTTATGGCAGATGATTTATCTTTTTTGGATGTTATCTTTATGATGATTTTCAAGTCTGTTCACCTTAAAGAGAAAGCTCTAAAAAAACCAAGCTATGTAATTACCTTTTACCCACTGACCTGAAGACCAGAGTGAAACTGTGAACCAGAAAGATAGCCACCTTTAAAGCTATGTATTGTTAGGTTTATGCTTTGAATTATTTGAGAATGGAAGGTACTTTATTGCAAAGTATTATGGAGGCATAATTGGGTACCTGCAAACTTTCTGGTAGGTTCTTTTGACTTGTTTCCATTGGATGGCATCATTTCCTACATTGTCATTCACTAAACAGCTATTGGATATTACATTTGTCTCATTTCATAAAAGATACTAGAGACACAAAGCAGTCCCTAAGTTTATTTGCCAACTATTGGAAGAAGTAGACTGGTAAGCAGCACTGTGTGATAAGCTTTACAGAGGCATAGAGGACAGATATCTAAATCAGCTGGCCATCCAAGAAGGATTTCCAAGAAAATGTATGTTTGAGCTAAGGTCTCAAATGCAAAAATAGTGACTTAATAATTGTAGAAGGGTATTTCATGCAAAAAAAAAAAAATAAAGAAAAGCATGTGTGAAGAAGTAGGCATTTAAAAGAGTGTGGAGAGTTAACACATAGCTTTGTATAATTGGTGCTGTTTGTAAGGACAAGAGAAATCGGAAGGTAATAAAGCTAGAGACAGTCTCTGGATAGAACATCAAGGGCCTTTCGTGCTGAGCAAAGAATTTTGTTCTTTATGCTAGAAACAGGATTATATTTTATTGCTAGAAATGTGAGAGATCAGAGGAGTCAAGAGACATGTAGACCAGCTTGGAAACTGTCGGCAGTGGTCAAGTGGGCCTAGTAGTCTGGAACAGGTAGAAAGATTAGGTTGTGGAGAATAACTATGAAAGTAGAACCTAAAACACTTGATCCCTCCATGTGTTTTTGTACGAAGATGTGGTAGGAAGGAGTAGAGGCAGGAGACTGGGTGAAAGGAAGACATCTATAATTTGCCACAGGTATCTAGCATAGATGATGGAGTAAATGGTAGTGCCATACACTGGGATGAGAATTAGGAAAGTCAGAGAAAGTTTGGGGAGACAATTTTTAGTTTTTGACCACATTATCTCTTATGTGCTTGTGAGAGAGCCAACTAAAACTGTCCAGGAGAAAGTTGAATATATAGTTCTCGAGCTCTTCAGAGAGGTCTGAGATCCATCGTTATAGTAACCTGCTATAGTAGGTTTCAATACAGAAATACAGATAAGAGTAGGGTGAGACGTCTAAAAGGCCAAGAACACACCAGAATGAAAAAAAGTTGTGAACATGAGTAAGAGCAGAGTAGGAACATGGAAAGAGTGATTTCACAGACGCCAAAGCAAGTATCAGCACTGTCAAATGCTGTCAAGAGAATTACTAAGATAACTAAAAGGTTTTTTTAGATTTGGCAACATGGAGAAAATTTGTGACAATATAAAAGACACCTGTCTGAAATCCTTTTTTCCTTCTCTTGGTAACATGAATACTATTTTCCATTAGAGAAAACTTTCTCCCATTCCATACAGCTATAGTGGGACCCTCAACCCAGGTACCCAACCCTTTCCTGACCAGAGGATACACATGTGACCTGATCTATGTCCCTCAGACTGTTTCTTCTTGGATTTTAAATTTGTGGTGGGTTGTTTGATAGCTGGGCATGGTAGTATGCATCTGTAGTTCCAGCTATTTGGAAGACTGAGGCAGAAGGATCGCCTGAGCCCAGCAGGTCAAGGCAGCAGTGGCCATGAGCATGCCACTGCACTCCAGCCTGTGCGACTCCAACTCGGAAAAAAAGAATTGTGGTGGATTGTTTGTTTTTTTAAAAAAAGAGCTATGTTGGGAACACTTTTTTAGTTCTGCCTTTTGGTTTATTAGTGTGATAAAACAATAATATAATGGAAATATATTTTTATCCTGGTCATAACTTCAAAAATAAAGTCAAAGAAAGTGTTTGGTTATAAAGTTTGCTCACACAAGTGAAGTTAGCATATTGTATTTTTAGCCCAGATAAATATCTCAGTATGTGATTATTGAAATATCTTGAGAATTTGTTTTGTATTTCAAATAATATATCCAGAAACATTTAGACCCATGAAAGCAAACAATTCAGATTAGTTACATTATTGAGGAAAAATATATCAGGTCTTTCCCCAGTGGCCAGCCTTACAACAATGTCAAGTTGGTTTATAAAAAGTCAATGCTCAAAATATATCTAATCTACAAAGAGCAGTATAGTACAGTGGTTAAGAACTCAGTCTGGAGATTCAGATCTCTAGGTTGTAACATTTCCTGCTAACTAGATGTCAACTCTGAGGAAATTACTAGCATTCCTGGTCTTTGTTTCTCCACTATACAATGAAGATGATAATAGCACCTATCTCATGTAGATGATGAATGAATTAAATTAGTTATTAAATACAAAGTATTAAAACAGTACCTACCTAGCACATAGTATACATCAGTTATTTTTACTGCCCATATGATAGAAACAAGGTCAATTTCTGGCATTAAAGACCTACTGTAAGGTAGAAGTTAGATCAGAACTCTTGCCATATCATCATTTTCAGTTCACATGAGCTTCATTGAACTTGGGACAAATCATCTGAATTGAGATGGATGTAGTGTGGGGCAGTTCCCACACCTGGGTTTCATTTTGATTGTAAATGTGTGCAAATATGAAAATTCGGAGTGAGACTCAAAGCAAAACTGCCAGAGTTTAGACTACTCATTTCAGAACTGATTAACATATTCAATTTTAGGGGCAAACCCCATTAACCAGTTTTGCTGTTTTTCTAACAAAATTTACAACAACAATTTTTTTTTCTCCAAATTGTTCATTTTGGATCTTAGTCTCTGACATATTTTGATCTTTGGCCCATACTTGGACTTCAGTTTTATCATTGTTTTTAATAATGTAAAAAGTTTCTGAAAATCTACTACCCAAAACAAAAGTTAAGATTTTTACCACAAACTATCTCATTACCTGGTTCCCTACCACATCACCACCACCATACTGTTCCTGGCCTCCTTATCTGAATTATGTGGTCTTCCTTGAGTATTTTAAAAAATATTTTGCTTTTAAAACAAAATTTTTTAAGTGATTTTTAAGTTGTTGCTACAAGAAGATATAATGTTTTATATGTACTATAATTAGACATGCTTTTTCTATATGATAATATCATGAATTATATAGTGTAGAAAATGATCCGTTTTCTTGTCCTGAAACCCCCTGGATTTTTTTTTCCAAATTAGCATTCAGTAATTGCACAATCCCTTGCTGTTCATAGCCAGAGGACCGCTTATTAAGTATAGCTTAATGATTCAATTTTTCTGGCCCATCCACCAGGTTAATAAAATGTTGATTTCTTTAAACATACACAAATCATAATATTATTTTTCGATACTATTTTTTATTTTTTCAAAATCAGCAACCTATATTAGCTATTAAATAGGTCACCCAAACTGTGCATTTGATTTTCCTAACTTTCATCTCTTGCTTTCCCACTTTATTTTAGTGTCTCCAGCAGGGCCCTTATAAATGAGAATGCATTTGTTGCATGCAGTGGGACTATCTGGTGCAAATGAAAGGATTGGAGTAAATTATTTTACAGTGCATGCTGAACAAGTAAAAATATCCTAAGAAATGAAACCTTTGGGTTTCCAAGCAGTACTGGCACAAGTGCAATTGGAGAAAGCAACACTAATCAAGAAGTAATAAGTTATGTTCCTTCCTGTGAAAACTGGTTTTAATCAGCTGCTCTGGTCTAAGTTGTTACCCTATTTTTAATTAAACATCCTTGGACAGCATTTCTACCCCAAAACAACTTTTATAAGTTTTGTGTCTATACTGTGAATGTCAGTATCTCAGGGTTAACATATTAACCCCACAGTAACTTAGACAAACGGGATGAATAGGGCACAGCATTGGAGAGTGTATGTCAAAGGAATTAGGGCAGGAGTTCAGTGAGCCAATGTGCCAATTTGAAAATGGATTCTTCTTCCTGCTGAAGAGTTCTTTTTAAGATAAATGACAATCATTAAGCTGCCACATTTTACTGTGTGTAGACATGTTCAAAATTGGCTCTTCTTTGTGATTGCTGCTTTGTGCAGGTATTTAAGCTACTGCCAGTAGGACTAACAGCTTATCCAATAGAAAATATGCTACAGGAAAACACATGGTTTAAATTCGTAAATGGTTAAACACTGTGCTGTTGTTCTGTCTGTCTAAGCTTTTCTCCAAAACAACTTTACTTACTCAAGTTGCTTTAGAAAGATAAACTCTAAAAACCTTGAAAATAGTGCAGTCTTAAAGCAATGTTAAAAACACTTTCAGAGGAATAAGATGAGAAACCAGATGTACAAATTTGCCACCAATGGTGGCAACAGTTTGTCATTGAGCTCAGAAAAATCAGATAAAAACAAATTGTGTGTGTGTGTGTGTGTGTGTGTATGTGTGTGTGTGTGTGTGTGTGTGTGTATAAAATGAGTATACTTTCACACTACAGGTTATTCTTTCTACTTGCTTTTATCCAAGCATAGTAGCTTATGTTTTATCAACACATATTGAAATGGAAAATCCATCTTTGAATCTTTCAAAATGTTGAAGAAATTATCAGATTGCATTTTTTGTATGGTTTTATGTAGTACCTCCTATGGAAGATTGTAAAGAACAAGAGCCTATTATGGACAACAATATTTCTCTGGTGCCTTTTGAGAGACCTGCTGTCATAGAGAAGCTCACGGGGAATATGGGAAAACGTAAAAGCTCCACTCCACAAAAATTTGTGGGTAAGCGTTACAAATGCTTTTGTTTCTTTGCAACGTGATTTTAATAGGAAAATACATATGTCTCATGTATTAGACATATATGGTACATGAAATAAATACCATATATTTTTCCATTATTCTTTATTCTACTCTATGACATGTACACCACACTACACACACACACACACACACACACACACACACACACACACACACACACACACACACATTCTTAGGCATATGGATATAAAAAAGAAAAATAAAGGAAAAACGCCATCTTAAAATGTGATGATATATAAAGTGGCATAGCATGTAAGATATAAAATGTTGCTAATTTATTTTAAGATAATAATACATAAGAGAAATTGTCTAGCCTATTGGCCAGTTTTATAATCTGTTTTGCAGTTTGCATTAGTGTCAGGTTGTTAACTGTTTGCTTTATATGATCTTAATTATTTTAGCATTTGATTTAGAATTAAGAAAAATTTTAAATTTTTTCAAACATTTGCATTCAAAATATAATGTGGCAACTTACAGTTAAGATGTTTCATATTTAAATCAACAATTTATATTTTCATCTTTGTTTTTTCATTCAGGCTATGAGTTTGTACTGAAAAGATTAAACATTTATTTAGATGTTCACTTTTCATTTCCAAACCCTTAGATAGTCTTTGATACACCCAGTGTTGTTGGCATCATTCTGAATGCATGCTGTAATTTATAGTTTCTCTGAGGATACAAAACTATGTATTTTTTAAGTATGAATAATAGAGATTCAATAGAAAGAATTGTTAAAGAATTGCCATTCGTTGTATATGTAGTGTCTCCTTTGTAGATTTAATATAGGCTAAAAATAAGAAGAGAGGAAAAATATTCAAGCAAAGTCTATCTTTCTAGTGTCAGAAAGCATTATGGGACATCCTGATTAAATGATGATTAGGAGAAAATTTTTGCTTTGGTTGTTTCAGGGAGGAAAGGGTAACAAAATTATATTACTTCAGTAAACACTTAGAGAAAGTTTCCTTTCAATCTAAAATTGAAGAACTAACAAATCACCAAGACTAGCTGGAGGGATTTATTGATAACTCGTTGAAAGAAGGATAAAGGATGACTCTCAGGACCATAGTTTATATCAGGTCAGTTTAAGGCCTCAGAAGCCGTCCTTGGGCTCCAGTAACTTTCCTCTCTGTTCCTTTCTTTTCATAGGTAGCTGTGAAAAAAGAAAGAAAAGAAAAAGTCCAGCTTACTTATTTTTAATATTGATTATCTGATGGGTGTCATTAAATGTTTGTATCTAACTAGACTCTAGTGTAATTTCTGTTACCTGGTAAAACCCCACTCTTTCGCAAAGCAAACTGAGCATCTTCTCCATATTTATATTTCAGCTGCTAGCACTTTTGAAGAAAACCCCACAACCTTATGAGTTGACATCACTATAGATAAATGAATAATTTATCTCAAATATCAGTCGGCCCATCCATCCAAGGTAGCAGCACTTCTTTAATCCATCCCTGGACAGACTTCTCTCCTCCTCTCCATCATGGCCATTTCAACCACTTCTACTCTCTGCAAACATGGTGTCTCACTCCTTGGTGATCTTTTATCTATGTTAATGGGGAATACAATCAGCTGAAATAATTTCAATATAATATTACCAGTCCTATAGGATTGTGTACATCCACAGAAATACGTTTTTCTTTTTTCCAGATTTCAATGCAAAAACTATCCCTTTTTCTAGTTAAGGTTAATTCCCTTTCTTGTGTCCTGGAATTCTCTTATCCTACTCCCAACCCTAAATACCTTACACTATTATGCTTCCTCTTTCTCACTTATATTTTCTTGATTTTTTAAAAAAACATTTTTATTTTAACATGTGGTTCTCAGTTTTTGGCTTCTGTGATAGGTCACTGAGTATCCTCTCCCTTCTATTGGCATTTCTTATCAGCATTTAATGCAATAAACTCTCATAATTAAAAAAAAAATTTTTCCTCCAACCTGAGTTTCCTTTCAGCTATAGCTACATTCTTCTTCTCTTCAAAGATGGAACTGTGGAAGAAATTATCTGTACTTGCTTTCTATTTCTTTTCTTCTACTCATTTTCCTGTCTGCACAACCTGGATTTCTTCGCCACACTCCATTGAAATTCTTCTCGTTGAGATTGCAACTAGCTTCCATAGTGCCGAATCCAGTAGACCCTTTTTAGACAACAATGTCCACAACTCCTTGAGAGTCCTTGCCACTATTGAATAGTCAGTTCCTGAGTTCCTCTGGAAACACACTCTTTTCTTGGTTTCTATGATATTGATCGCTCTTGTATTTCTTCCAGCTTCTCTGAACTGCTACTTCTCAGTCTTCTTTATGAACTTATCCCTAACAGCTGTGCAATGAGACAGAGTACAAATGAAGCCCCCCCATATGCCTAAATATTGTCATCATACTGTAACTCTAGCCAAAAACTTATGTCTAACTCTCCTAACTTAAAAAATAGCATTCAAATAAATAATTTTCAGAATTTTTGTAGCTCTACACCAGACCTTGGCAGCAGGAGCAGAACCACACCTGGCTTACAACTGGGTCCCTCTCTTAGAACCACTCCTGGTTCTGTTCATTACCACACTTATGTGAGTAGACACCCCACTTTTGCACATCCAAGTTTTTTTTACATTGCTTCTCACATGCAATACAGAAAAAGTAGTGTCTTGACCATCAGGCATAGGTATGTGCTTATCAGCAGCACATCTGGTACTAAGGAAAGTGGGCTTGGGGAGGAGGATTGTGTAGACTCTGAAAGCAGGCTCAGAACCATTTGGGCAAGGAATTCTGGGATCCTGGGTGGCCAAAGAATGACCTGGGGCGTGAACTCCATATCAGCACATTCCCTTGGCCCTGCACACTCTTCATTCCATGAGAATTAAAGTCCATGGAATAGGGGCCAGTGCAAGAAACCAACTTGCCCCCGTCTGTGGTAGGTGTAAAAATCGTGGTGTTCCTCCAGTTGCTACTTTTGACAATTTCTCTTTACACGCTACCTATGCATGGGTGATATCATCTATTCCCGTGACTTCGTAAGTTGCTGTCTATTAACAGATGATACTCACATCTACATCTTAAGCTCAGATCTCTCTACTGCATTTGACACTATATCTGAGTACTTGCTGGACATGACTATTACTCATAGTCTTCCCCAAACTGAATTTATCATCTTTTCTATCTTATTGTTACCCACTAAGTTTCCCAGGCCAAAAGCCTGGGCTTCATACTTCCTTCTTTTATGTCTGTATAATTGCCATGCCCTAGCAATTGCATTTTCCAAATTTCTCTTCACTCCATTGACTTTTCTCCGTTTCCACTGCTACTAGACTAGTTCAGGCCACCATGATCTCTACAGCAGTAACTTCCTAAACCCTCTCATTAAATTAATATCTTTAGGCCACTTCTCTGTTTCACCCCTTCAATCCTCATTTCTTTAAGATAATATGTAACTATTTAGCAGTTGAATTAGCCCTGTATTAACTGACCATCTGTCTCATCTGTTTCCACCCTCAGCCATATTGAAGTATAAGTAATTATTTAAAAGTTAGGCCCTCTTGCCTCTGATCCTTCCTACCAGCTGCCCTACCCCATGTTTCTTTACGTGGCTAATGTTTACCATCATAGTCTTATCCCTGGTGCCACTTACTTCAAGAAGTCATCTTTTACTCCCCTCGTATGAGTAAATATTCCTCTTATTTGCCTCCCACAGCACACATCACACTGCATTTATTATCATTGATCCCTAGATTGCTGTTATTTCTTCTAAACTATAAGCTCTTTATGAATATAGATCAGGTTTCTGTGGCGTATCTTTGAAATGCTTGGCATTGCAATATCTTAAATTAGGTGCCATGAGACAATTTCTCATCATTTTTTCCTTCCATTTTCATTACTCCACTCATTGCTCTGATCTCACGTTGTAGCCATTTCTTCAAATCTGAAATATTGTTAACTTCCACAATGTGCTTTTCCAGAATGCAGGTCTGCGGGTCAACATTTTCTGTCAACATTACAAGTTAGGCATCCATCAGCAATAACATACCAGTCATTTATAAGAAATCCACATATATTTACAAGAAGCATTTATCTATAAAGTTTACCTATCAAAGCAACTAGGTAAATAGTTGGAGGCTACACTGTTAGTGACAGAATTTTTAAAAGGTGAAATATTCTGTTTGAAACTGGCACTATCTGGAGAAAAATTAAAATTGATTTTCCAGTTTTAAGCATTAGCACTCTTTTATAGTTGATGTTCAGCTATTATGTTGGAGTAAAATACTGAAATAAAATTACATTTGTTGAAGTAAGTATTAAGGGAAAAGCTACAAACATACATCAATCAAGAAAAAGTATGAAAAACTAGCAACAGGTATACATACTTGCACCATCACACACATATCTGAATAAGAAAGGATGATATAAAAAAGAATACTTACCAATTTCAAGAAACAAAACAATGAAACAAGATTTTTCAAGTTTATGACCAAGTACTTTTTGAAATAACGCCTAATTTTATTTTTAAATTGCCTTAAATTTTATTTATTTTATCAGGTGATACAACTTTTAAAAGTATTTTAAGAATGACTCTTTTTAACTCTCCAGAATGACATACATTGGTTCTTTTTTTTTTTTTTTTTCAAAATAGCAGCTAAATCAACCATACCCTACACAACAGTGAGGATCCATATGTTCTAACCAGATCACTCTCACTTTTCTGATCTTTGTAACTTCGTCACTAATGTTTGAGATATGTAAAAACAAGCATAGTCTCTGACTTCTTTTTTACTTGGTATTTATTCTTTCTCCAGTAGTCCTTGAGTTCTATTCAATTGAGAATTTTAATAGAAAGTGAAAATAAGATAAATTCAGTCATATCTTTCAGGCTAGATGCATTCTCATCGGAACAAGTGCAAATGGCTTGTGAAATTTTTATTGCTTATCTCTTGTTCATCTTAAGAGTGTCTGTGATTCTTAGCAGAATTTTAAAAATCCCAAATGCTTGATTTAAAGAATAAGATATACCAAATTAAGGAGATTAGTTAACTTTGTACCCTTTTGTATTTTTTAAATTCAATCACTAATTTTGTTATATTCTTTTTAAAAATTTATTTCCCCTTCCTCTCCCTTCCAGGGGAAAAGCTCATGCGATTCAGCTACCCAGATATTCACTTTGATATGAACTTAACATATGAGAAGGAGGCTGAGCTGATGCAGTCTCACATGATGGACCAAGCCATCAATAATGCAATCACCTACCTTGGAGCTGAGGCCCTTCACCCTCTGATGCAGCACCCGCCAAGCACAATCGCTGAAGTGGCCCCAGTTATAAGCTCAGCTTATTCTCAGGTCTATCATCCAAATAGGATAGAAAGACCCATTAGCAGGGAAACCTCTGACAGTCATGAAAACAACATGGATGGCCCTATCTCTCTCATCAGACCAAAGAGTCGACCCCAGGAAAGAGAGGCCTCTCCTAGCAATAGCTGCCTAGATTCTACTGACTCAGAAAGCAGCCATGATGACCACCAGTCCTACCAAGGAAACCCTGCCTTAAATCCCAAGAGGAAACAAAGCCCAGCTTACATGAAGGAGGATGTCAAGGCCTTGGATAATACCAAGGCTACTAAGGGCTCTCTGAAGGACATCTACAAAGTCTTCAATGGAGAAGGAGAACAGATTAGAGCCTTCAAGTGTGAGCACTGCCGAGTTCTTTTCCTAGACCACGTCATGTACACCATTCATATGGGTTGCCATGGCTACCGGGACCCACTGGAATGCAACATCTGTGGCTATAGAAGCCAGGACCGTTACGAGTTTTCATCACACATCGTTCGAGGGGAGCACACATTCCACTAGGCCTTTTCATTCCAAAGGGGACCCCTATGAAGTAGAGAACTGCACATGAAGAAATACTGCACTTACAATCCCACCTTCCCTCAGAGGTTGACACACCTTTTATTTTTTTTTTTTTAATATTGTTACTGTTGATAATTCTTATGTTGTGGACACGGTGTCATTTGCTCTGCCTAATTACAATAAGGAAGAAATAGAAGAGAGAAGGGACGGGGATATTGTTTCTTTATTGCTTGGCTTGTTTATTTTGTGGGAATTTAGCAGCAGTTAATTTCTGCCACGTCAAATATAAGGCATATCATGCTTTGAGAAACCACTTGATCCATATAGATTCACCTAAGAGATTCTAATTTGCCACTGATATTCAGGATTATGATTGGAGACAGGACAGTTTAGAGTTTTCTGGGTAGGACTTTGGCAGTTTAAAATGGTACAAGTAATTTTACTCTTGAAAGAAAAATGTATTTCAAATGTAAACTGATTGTTTTGTTCTTTAGAGCTCATGGAACACAAACGCATTGTTATTTTTGGTGAGTTGACTTGCTGATGTGGGTCCTATGTTTACTTTCCCTGCAGAATTTCTAATTCAGTATGTTTTACACTGTACCATATGTCAAAACTTTTAAACTACAGGTAGTGAAGGGCCACCTATAATACATCTGTGGTCCTGTGACCTTATTTTTCTAAACTTAAGCACTGTTTTTCCATAGTTTTGGTGACTGGCATTTTATAGCACCCTGGCAGCCTTACTTTTAACACCTTTAACAAATAGTATTTTTATGTAGTTTTCAGAATAACATATGGTCTAAGAGTGGATAAGAGGCAGTCAGTAATTTCCAGGAGGGACTTCTACTTTTTCATAAAATTTGTTTGAGAAGCTTTCTTTTAAAGTTGCAGTCTGATGGCAGCATAGTATACTTATTTGTTTCTAAAAGTGTGCTTATGATTGTCACTTTATCAGCATTTAATCAGTGTTAACCAGTCAGCAGAAAAATGTAATTAGGCTAACAGTAAGGGGAAAACACACCACTTAGAAATCTCTTTTCTGGTACTTCTCTTTTCACTGTTTTCTTCAAGCTATGACCACCCAGGGTTCTGTCCATTCATTCATCTTTTACTCATTGAGTAAAGGTCTTAAAAATCTTGATGTAGACTATTTCTTTGAAAAATTTCCTCAGAGCAATTGCCAATTTAACCTGAATGTGGTAACTTGAACCCTGTAATGTTATTGAACTAGGGCTATTTATTCTAGAATTTCTTTGGTAATAATATTTACTACTCTTGCTGCAAAGAAAAGAGGACTTCTTTGTCTCCTGTACATTGGACTATGATCAAACAAACAACAAAGTTTAGTCTTAACCCTTCTTGGAGTCTAGAATGTGATAGAACCTTGTGACAGAACCTCCAAAGGAAGGTCCTGCATGTTTTTCTGTTTCAAAAACACTTAACTTTATAAATCCTTGTCAGAAAGGAATCTCACTCCCCTAGTGCAGAATTTCGCTTCTTTTAATCCACACATGACTTAAGTTGCCATACTTCCTTTGCAAATATTAATTTTATTGATGCGGGTGCTCTGTTTTTCCTTTGCAGTCTAACAGCTTTAGAGAGGAGGAACTGAGTGACATGATTCAAGTCATTCTGGGGGGACATACTTGGAAGGCAGAACTTGCTGCTTGTGTTTGGGGCCGCAGGCCCAACTGCGACTCAATTATCTGATAACCTTTCATGAATACTGAATTTCTGTTCAGCAGTAACTGCTAACTGCTCTAAAACATCATTAAATAGTGTGCTGCAACTATATTTCTCAATACAGTTGTAATGTGAGAATTACCAAGACTAGAGAAACTTGGACAGACAAGCAAGTCTGGCCCCAATATTGATCTTAACTCATTTTCTGGTTTACCATTTGCTCATTTAAGCAATTTCAAAGCACTAACACAGATAGAACTACGCAAAAATGATGATAACTCAGCTCTCTTTTACTAGTCTCTATCACAATTATTTTTTGAAAAATATCCAAACTGTCTCTTTAAATCTAAGGGAATGCACCAACATAGAGATTTATAGAATGTTGACTGTTACATGTTTTGTTTTTTCCCTGCATGCCTTGGTACATTGTGAACACACAATCTGTTCAAAGGCAAAGCATGTCCTTGAGACTCCCTCACCCCTCACCTACCGTAACCATGGTCAAAAAATAATTGGAATGCGTTTTTTTTTTTTCTTTTGGATGAGGCAAATAATTTTAAGGTTCATGATTTTTGTCCTTTACTGCAATTGAAGGAAACATTTGGTTGCCAGTCAGTATGCTCATAATTTTGGCTGTGTGTGAATTTCTGCTAGCAATATCTATGATATTTCTTCCTCCTTTTTTTCTTCTTCTTTTTTTCAGTGTATGAACAATCTTGTACTTACCTGCCCTAGGGTGAAACTGAATTTAGGTGGACCTAAACAGTTGTGTAGTTCCCCTTGTGAAGACATTACTAAGGCACTTTCCTTTTCGGATCTTATCTTTTTAAGAATCTATTTTATTGAAGCTTGTTAATAGTTGAGAGTGCCATTTGCTACAAGTGTATACTTGTATTTTCTTAGTTCCTTGATGGTAGGAACAGAAGGAGGTGGAAATGGCTTAGGGTGTGGCAGGAATAAATGAGGACAGTCAATTCAAATCTATAGGTTAGAAAGAATTTCTGTGGACATGGTGCTTTCTGAGAAACTCTAGATGGTTATATCTGCATGCCTCTTGTAAACAGAAAGAAATATGCAAGGTGGTAGCACCTAAAAATAAATATGAGGTTCAGACACCAAATAAATCAAGTTTTATGTAACAGTGTATACCCAGTTTATTTAGATTTCACATTACAGAAAGTATTTGAGGGGCATGAAAATGGGTTATCCTCTATATTTTCCAGTTTGGCAAAATCAGAAGTTCATCACATTGTTGTGCCCTAATTTTGCCCAGAATTTTATCTCTAACTTCTTTCTAATAGTGGTGAGTCACAATTAAAAAGGCATTCTAATTGGTCTTTTTTAAACAGTGAAAGTGACCAGTAGGCAGATTGGAAGAGATTTCAAGTTGTTGAAACATTCCATTGAGAATTTTATAAAGGGACAAAATGGGAGAATGAGAAACTAGGATTTAGATTTGACTACAAAGTAGGAAGTATCTCGTCTGCATACTTACAGGTATATGTGTGAATCGTACGTAGTGTGTATGTATGTGAGTGTATCGCACATTGCTTTAAAGAAAATTCATGAAATGAAGCAATTGGACTGATCAGATGTGTTGCTAGAAAATATAGAAACTTTAAATTATAATTAATACCTGAGCAATTAGGTGGGTTTGCTGATTGTATTAAGAAATACTAAAGAATTTTACTAGTGTGATTTTTAGGACTAATGGCAACTATGAAAATTAAACCTTAGGTATTTATTATCCAGAACAAGGTGAAACAAGCAATGAAAAAAAGATTTTAAGCTGATTTGATATAAATTTAAGGAATATAAATTCCTTTTCGAATAAGAAGAAATACAAGAAAGAAGTGGTATCAACTGTTACTTACTGCCCCCCCCAAAAAAGAAGAAGACATGAATATTTTGGTGAGCTTGATAGATTTCTTTTTTATAGTTTTTGTCTTGGTTGTACACCTCGCAAAACCCTGAAGTCCTTAGTATTTCATGAATGTTTAACAAAATTTACATCAGATTAAGGCATTTAGCTGAAAATTATGTGTTTATTATTTTCCAAACCTTACTGTATTCTATTTCCAAATTGATTCCTTAGGGTAGCAAAGGAGCAGATGAGGCTGTGAAAATATAAACAAAAAACTGGATGCCCCTAGTTTCAAGACAGAGTTTAGACTTTAAGAGGTACTAGTTATACGGCTTTCTTTAATTTTGAATTGTTCATTTTATAAAAAGGGATTAATTTACATTTTTGGTTATCATAAATTATATTTTACATATTACCTTAATAAGTAATATCTGTATAAAGATTATTTTCAACCAGAAAATTCTCGAATCCAAAAGAAAAAAAAAGTGTATGAGGGGGTGAAATTAAAGTTCGTATATATGAAAGTTATCTTAGAAATATTTTTAATCCTCCAGTTTCTGCAAAATAATTAAAATATACAGTAACTGGTCTCTAAAAATCTTGAAGTTAATATATTAAATACTTATAAAAATGTTTATATCCGTGCCTTTTTAAAATGCATTAAGAGTGTTGGTTAGCTTTTACAAATCTACAATACTTTTAACATGCATTTTTAAAAATCACTTAAAATTGAGTACTATATAATTCATCTTTGTGTTCTTAGGGCAAAACTTCGGAGCAGTTTCCAAAACAGAAACTTTCAACTCAACTGCTAAAAGGAAACTTTGACACCAATTTTTAATATCTTTTTAGTGTCATAGTATTTCTGAATATCATTAAAAGATTAGGCAGGTAAAATATAAGATGGAGTGAAGTTTTACCTGTGGATTTAATTATGGTATATGTTTTTGTTTTGTTTTTAAGGAAGAATAAGTTCTGTATCACACAAGGATTCATTGGCAGAAATTTGGTTAATAAAATCAGTATTGTTTGGGATTTTCATCTCTAGACTAGTATTGTTCTAGTCTTGGACTCTTTATTTCCTAATCTGTGAATTTTTGATGGAATAATGTAAGGGGAAAAAAGCACGTAGTTAATTCTTCTTGAACAAAACAAAGCTGAACAGTCATATCACATCGCTGTTCTCCAAAGCATAATCTCAATTGGTTGCATACCATGGTAGTGTATTTCTTGCAATGGATGTGTTAGGATGTGACAGCTTTTTTAAAAATGAGCTGCTGGTTATTTTAAAGCAAATGTCATATGACCAAGAAGCTGTGATATTCTAGTGTTTCTTTTTATCATAGTGTATTGCTAGGCCAAATAATGACACCTTGAATATTTTTACATTTATTGCAGAAACCTAAAACTTTGGAATTTCCATAAGGTTTTTATGTAATATTCTATTTCTAACTTTTTAGTTTTATCTTGCTGTACTGTAAGTTTGTGGATATTTTTCACATGCACTCTTAGGAATAAGTTAATAATTCTGTTTATGGGGGTTTTCTCCAGTAACAATACATTTGTATATTTTCTGTATAAATTTGTTGTGAATTAACTTTTATCCCATACAGAAAATGGTACATGAATGACTAGTTTTCTAAGATGTCCTTTTTATTGTGAATAAAATATAAAATTTAGAGGCCCTCTGCTAAGCCACATAAAAAGTACAGCATGTAACTTCAGATAGGTACACATAAGCCAGTTTGCAGTGAATTGGGCCTTCAAATTACCTCAAGTGACACACAGTTTAAAAAAAAAAGAAAGCTTCTTGAATGGGTGGAGGTCACTGAATCCCCCTGCTATGCACTTATCAGGATTTTACTTAGTTTAATTTACTGGAAGTGAATTTTTTTAAATGAGTACACTGTAACAAGGGAAGGAATCTGGGTTTTGTGTTGTATTGTTTTATTCTTGACTTTTTTCTTAAGTAGTTCAAATTCTGAAACTGTGATAAAAAAAATTTTTTTTGGACAGTCAAGCACTCTCAGATTTTGAACCTAAATCACTTCTGTACAACAAAGTTCTCTTTGTTATCTTTTTTAAAATTTTGTAAACTCTTCCCCAGCCTCTTTCTGCCTTTGACCATCTTCTTCTTCCGTCATTGTCTCTGGACGTCTTTGCCTCTCTTTCTTCCTACTAGTTTAAGATTAGATCAACTCTTATTTCCAGTTCATTGGTCTTTTAAGTTTTTGTTTGTGATTTTTGTTGGCTGTATACCCTGCTGGCATATTTTTATACTCAAGTGTAGTTTTATATTTAAAAGAAAAGTGGTTAGATTAAAAATAGTAAGCTCTATAACCCTCGTGTTACTTTCACTTTCAAATGTTGGGTACCTAAAACATGACTTCAGAGATGATGTAATCATATTATAGTATGTTTGCCTTCCTTTTTTGTTGGACTTTACATTCTGGTTTGGCTGTCCTTTGAAAATGTGTATCATGAAAGACTAGATAAGTTTTTGCAAGCATTTAGAAAGATGTTAAAAATGTAAAGCAAAGAGTCTTAACTTTCTCCCACTTGGGAGAAAAATGCTTTCACATTACTACAATAATATTCCAGGTTTGGAGGGGGTCTCCAAGCCCCATATTTGCTCTTAATCATTGGACCTTTTAGACCATGTGTTATTTGCAACCCCAGAATGATTGTTTCTGCTGTTAGTTTAAAAGATACTATTATTTTCTTTCTGTACAAGTGCAATATTTCCCTTGAAGTCTTAAAAACTTAGTGATTTTTTTTTCTTTTCTAACCTATCCTTTAACTAATGGCAGAAAGAAACTCATGAAAATAATTGTATGTTAAGGACACAGCAAACAAAGAGAAAAGCACTCCACATTCAAAAGCTTAGAGACTGTGGAAACCACTGATCTCATGGTATCTTTACTTAGGCTAAATTTTCATTGAAATTGGTCATCTTTTGCCTGAGCTATGTGTCCTGAAGCTGATCTTTTTACACACTGAATTTCCTTCTTAGACCCTTGCCCAATGCTCTAAATTAAGAACCTAATATTTAATATTTTTATTTCATTTATCTCCTTTTAGAAATAAACTTTTAAATAAAAGCAAAGCACTTAGCTCAGTTTTAAACACTTACATATCACCTACTGGAGAAAAATTTTTAAGAATATTTGGAACAGTTCTGTTTTCATACAAATTTAAGTAAGAAATATTTTTCGTATCATACATATTTATATGCAGTTTGCTGATTTTCTTTTTTTATACCTGTGTCCCTGTAGTAAAACTGCTGTAATGTAAATAGATGTTTTGTTAAAAGTAACATTTCTTTGGCATTTCTTTTAAAGGCAGTTACTGCGTTTGTATAGTATGTGTCTTGGCCATTTTAGATATTTTTTCTTTAACAATACCAAAGGTAATTAGATGATTTTAAAGACTAATTGCTTGACAGTTTCTAGGATATTGTAAGTTTTAGAAGCAAAAAAAAAAAAAAAAAAAATAGGTCAAACCAGTAAACCTCATTTTTTTTTCAGACTAATAATTTGGGGAAATAAAAATTATTGTTTAAAAAAGAAATATTATATATATATATATATATAAATATATATGTAAAGTTAAAATTCCAGACCTTGTATGTCAGGTTTGCTCAGTGTAATGTAGTTTTTTTAAGGCTCAAATACCATACCTCAGAAAATGAGGTTTACTACGGAAATACTGAAACAGTCTTCGCAGCTGTGTGACAAGTCACTCTACCACATACTGATTTGGAGACCTCCGCTAAACCATTTTATCACTGCAGACTATAATGTGGGACTTGTATTTTCTTTGTTTTTAATGCACACACATACATGTTCTGTGCGTGTATGTGGGTACTGTGTATATGTGTATGAGTGTTGTATATGCATGTGTGAGTGTGTGTCTGTATGTATGTACAACTAAAGAAGCTGCAGAAACTTTGTAATACTTTGTGAAAAGGATTATATTATAAAGGTTTGTACTGTCTGAGTGCACAGCTACTGGAATAAATTTAGGGAATCTCAGGAACAAGCATATAATTTGTCCAAGATTTATTTCTTCTCAGAAGTGTAAGTGCAGTTTTTAATTCTGTATATTATTTAATATTTTACCAATAAAATAAACTTCTGACATAAAAGTTTGCTATAAAAACTTTCTGGTGAAAATTCTGTATACAAACGCATCTTCATAATACAGAAGACTGAATGGTTGGATAGTACCAGACTTAAGTGATCACTGCCATTGTATATTTGCCACCCTTCCTATCCCCAAGATTTGAATACATGTGGTCTCAGCAATCTCCTTCTCAGTCACGAGTTGATCCCCATTATAGGATGAAGTCCACAAGAGTAGAGAACAAAGTATTCCATAATTTGTTAAGGATGACATCTCTGCCCTTCAAACCGTTTTTACATATGTCTTATTTTACTTTTAAAACAGGCTGTGTGTGAATGTACATCACAGCCTAACCTCTTTTGATCGAAGAAAAATGTGAGACCTGAGGAAAGAAAATTTTAATTTCTAAGTGCACAGTGAGTTACATAAGTGGCCCAAGTTGTCTAATATGGTCAATAACTCTATTAGAAACCAGCATTTCTGAAAAGATAGGCCAAGATAAAATTAAGGATTAAAGTATAGACATTGTTCAACGGTGGCAAAAGGTTGGCTATCAGTTCTGCTTCATGTTGTCCAACCACTATGTGAATCACAAACTTCTCATTTCTCAGATTTTACAAATATTACTTATCTGTTGACATCAGAAGTTTGTTCTGTTGTAAACATCCTCATAACCCCAAATGTAAAAGGACACATATGATTGCAAACCCACTTTAATTAACTTCAGCTATCTGCTTATCTTTCAAGTCAATTAAAACTCCACCATCACATTTGAGATCGCTATTAGAATTTTTCTTCATTGATATATAATTATAGAATTTTATGGAAACTTATCACATTCCCCAATAATTTCACATGCAGATGTCACACAGAATGAAAAATACCACAAATTCCAATGAAAATTTCCTTCCTTGATCGTACCATAATTCAAAATACAAACCTCATTTGGGGTATGGGTGGACAGGGAATGAAAAGGAGGGAAATAAGGCAAAAGAGGATAAATCTACCAAGTTACCCTCTAGTATTAAGTAATAAAGGATTCCTTCAAGATCAGCAAGGAGTATAATATTCTGGTTTATGGTATCAACAAGAGCCAAATGAAAAAAAATGTATACAAAAAACATGCTATATCCCTGTGACTTTCCCATTGCAGTACAGTCAGAGGAATTATAAATAATTGACATTTTGATATGATTGTAAGATTTTGTTATCAGTATGTTCAAGCCAAAGGATTGTTCTTGAGCCACATGGTGCAATTACTTCATTTAGCATTTTAATAATTCTGCCTCCCACTTTAGGAGGTTCTAAGATGAACCCATTAAACTTCCAACAAAACTTCATTTTTTGTTAATAATCCTACTGAAAGTTCCTTGTGTGTTTTTGGTGTTAGTTCTCACTAGAGGTTCCAACAAGGATCACAACTGGTGAATTTGAATTTTGCTACTTTCACCCTATTGGGCACGATACCTGAGGGAAGGTTTCGATAAAATAGCCTGTGGGAGAAGTTGACAAACAAGATAACTTATTGGGACATTCCTCATCCCATATAAAAATTGGTAAAAGTGAGGAAAGAGCCTAGAATATAAAGATATGTTTAGTCTGAGAAAAATAAATGTTTGCCTTTTCCTTCTTGATCTTACTGCTGCTTTAAAACCCCAGACTATGTCTTGGATCAGACCAGCAGCTTATAACTTGAAGTTTGTCAGGCAAAGAACAAATCCCTCAAAACAGTGAAAACAGACGCTGTCCATATTGGTGTTGTTTGTTCTAGTAATCCTTAGAAGGGCTGTATGAACTGGGTCGACAAATGGAATATCTATGAAGGAGCAAGATTGGTAAGTGGTCCAGGAAGAACCAAAGGTAAAAAGGAAGTAAGGTAAGAGTGTTTGTGCTGGGCTCCCCTGGGCCTCGGGTAAGCCTAAGGCTAGTTGGGATCAAAATCAACTGTCTCCACCTTGAGTGCTTAGGGAAATCCATTTCTTGGGAAATAGGAGAATTTAACCAAGCAGGAATGGCAGCAGATTATATCAGTGCTCTGGGCCCAAGTATTGGTTATGGTTTGGTGGACATAAAAGCTTAAAAGACTTTGACCAACACCACTTTCGTAAATGATAAAGTCTCCAGCTCCTATATTTCCTATTCAAAAGTAGGGATGAGGTGACCCAGGGCATTTGGCTATTAGAGAAATAAAAGTGGACGCATACTTTGGAAGTAGAATATTCTAGTCCAAGGAAAGAGTGACCATCTTGTCTTCCTTTTTCTTTTCTATTTTTTCTTCTTTTCCTGGCTTTCCTTATTATATTATGTGATTTATCTGCATTTCCTTCCATCTCCTATCCTCTCTTCTCACCCTTGTTTTTCCACATTGATCTTTTTTTCTCTTCCCCCCCCTTTTACCATTTGCTATCTGTTCTTGACCTTGGCACAATTCTGATTAACTATTTTAAAATATAATCTCTTTTGACTGGAATAGCTTAATGAAACCAGAATATCCAAGGGGGGACCCCCAAAACCCAGAATTAACTTTTGGAGAGCAGGCCCCTTGTAGTACACTTGAAATTTGTTCCTACAGATCAAATGGCCACCCGTTTTTATCTGGAAGTTTTGAGAAGGTTGTGTCACAATTTGTGAAAGAAATATCCTGAGTTGTAGCAAACAGGTGACTGCTTCCACCATAATAACGTACCTGCCCACACCATGCTGAGTATTCAGCACTTTTTGACCAAAAATAGCATGACCTCTGTACCCCACCATCCATATTCACCTGATCTTGCCGGAGCACCATTTTTTTGTTTGTTTCTCCAGATGAAAAAGGGAAATATTTTCTGATGTGAAAGAGGTGAAACAAAATTGATTGAAGCACTAGAAGGCATCAAAATTGATGAGTTCAAAACTGAGCGATGGAAAAAAGTGTCTTGGTATGTGTATTGCATCAAACAGAGAGTGTTTGAAGGTGACTGAAGTTTACACATGTAAGTAAGCAGTGAAAAAGCTAAAACTGGACTCTAATTCCAAATATACTCTGTTCAGTGTTTTATTTTCTAAACCACTTTATTCAGCATTTGATTGTTAAGCCCCATTAATAAAGGAGAGGAAATCAACAGGCATGCTTTAAAAGTAACATTGTGCTTATTCTGATTTGTAAACAGAATGATCCTAAATAAACTCACTGGCACAATTAGGAGAGCTGAGAAATACTGTATTAAATAGAAGGCAAAAATGACCTGAAATTAAAATTTTACTGCAGAAATTTTTTTAATGGATACATTATCTTAATGTTTCTTCTAAAGACCCCCTTTATACATAATTTAAATGTGTGGGCTTTTGATTGCTTACTAAATTTTTTTTCACAGTTGATGGAATTCTTTGCCCCTTTCTAAATCACTCTATCCATGTCTCCATACTCATAATCTCTACTTCTTCCGTTGCAGGATGTAATTTCCAGTATATATACTTTGTTTTCTGCTTCTTCTCTATTTAAAAACCATCAGCTGACTCATCATGAATATATTCATTTATTACTACTCAAAGCTCTGGTGATAGCCTATTGTTGTCATATCTTCCAGATTTAGTGAGCATTCTAGACACTGAGCTCATTCCTCATAGGTGTTAAAACCTGTCTCCTCATTTATCTCCTTACTATTCATTCTATAGTATAAAACATTACCAAGATTCACCCTCAATTCCAACTCTATTTATTGTGAAGTAAGTGATATATTTACCATAAAATCCAACCTCATGTTGTGTACCCTTAGGAATGAGACATGTACCACCATTTGGAATTTCTTGGCTTTGACCTAACAAGTTTCTCCAGTCTTCAAAGGATGGTTGCTGTAGTTACACCTGTTCTCCTTGGCTTACTTCTGCAATATAAGTAAGTAACCGAGTTTTTTGGCCTTAAAACAGGCTAGTTTTTGTCTCCCCATCCCACCTCCTTTTGCTCTTTGTTTATTTATTTGTTTATTTGTATCAGATTATAATATGCATATATATTACTATCATTTAATAACACTCAAGGGAAAAAAGACTGGGACAGCAAATGACTCATGTTTCTCCAAACTCTTAGCCAAATTACTTTTTAGTCATCCTAACAAATGGCTGTTTGGCTATACCACAAATGATACTTTCCAAGCTACAAGTGTAAGCCCAGAGTCTTCTGCTTTCTTCTTCGGTGTTTTGACAAGTCTGATTATGACTAAGAAAGTGATCACATAGCGGTGGCTCAAGCCTGTAATCCAGCACTTTGAGAGGTGAAGATGAGAGGATTGCTTGAGCCCACGAGTTTGAGAACAGCCTAGGCAACTTGGCGAGACCTCATCTCTACAATAAATCAAAATTTAGCTGGGCATGGTAGCACACCCCTATAGTTCCGAATACTTGGAAGGCTGAGGCCGAAGGATCGCCAGAGCCCAGCAGGTTGATGCCGGGGTGGCTGTGAGCGTGCCACTGCACTCCAACCCAGGTGACTGAGTTCGACTCCAACTCAAAAAAAATAAAAAGTGAGCACATAGGGAGCATGAGAAAAACTTTGCTGCAGGTAAGGTTAAAGGGGATACTTTATTCTTTATTTGCTTGAAGAATGCAAGTAGCTTCCTTGGACCTTTAAGATATGAAGTGGGTCATTGCCTAATTATTTGAAATAAAGATGAGCTCTGTGTGATATTTTTTATGTTTTTTTCCCCATTTTCGCTTAAATTTCTAACACACACACACACAGTAAAATCATCAATCTAAACTACCTCATGCTGACAAACATGTTCTCTGTTTTAATTAGAAAAAAGTATTTTTGACTTTTAAGAAAATAATTAAATATCCTCTTGAGAGACCAGCCACCCTTTTCAATATATCTCTCATATCTCTCAGTTTTAATAAAATGCTCATGTATGCTAGCATATTCTGAACTCTTCTTAGAATAATTCATTCTGATTCACAGTTACTAATCTACAGAAAACTTAAAAACTTAATACTCAAAAGCTTGCTATGGTGTGGTGACTTTGATGCTTTATAAAAGTTTACTGGCATATAATTCCATCAAT